AGATAATACACTGGCCGGAGGAATGCAGCAGTACTGCTGGGAGGATTGGCGATCACATTTGTGGTCCATGGCATGAGGACCTTTGAACATGCTTGTTTACTTCTCCAGCTGCATCCCTGGAGAGGGTACTTAGAAAGACAGGGGATGAGCCTGTGAAAGCAATAGAGGGTAAGGGAAAATGAGGTTGAAGGTACATAGAAGGTTGTGAGTGAAGGAACGAACGACAAAATCTAAACTGGATAGAGATGGAATTGAGGAAATGAGAGGCGTGCAGGTCAGTGCGAGGATATCAGTCTTTTTTTTAAGATGTATTTATTTATGCGTAGAAGAACTGGGGTACAGGCCAGAGGTACTGGGGTGAGCGGATTCACCAGAGACAGCATGAGTGGCAGAACAGATGGATCTACTGAAATCCACTGTTGAGAGGAGCAGCGGGTGAGTCAGGAGAGGTCCTCTGCTCCCTGTGGGTCAGCTCCCTGGCTGGGGATCGAACTCAGGCAATTCCAGTTCTCGTGCTGAAACTTAACCCCCAGCCACCAGGGAGGCCCCTCAGTAAGTCTTAAAGGGGATTGAGACCCTAGAAAGACAGAGGTGAAATAGCAAGAAGAGATGGAAATGTAAATACTTGAATATAAATTTAGGAAGGGAAGACAGTTAATTTTCACCCTCAGCAGAGTCTTACCTATGTCATCCAGCCTCCCCTATTTGGGGCTAAACAATGTCCTATGATCAAAACACCTTTTCCCCACTGACTTACGCTAATATAGCTAATTTCCAAAGCAAAAGATCCCCAGACCTAGGCCTAAGACCTGGTGTAGGGTAAAGAAAAATGTCAGGCTTTCTTGCCCTCCTGCCATCAGGATGGGTGATGGATCTCTGCGGTCCTGAGTGCAGGCCTGATGGCGGCACCTGGAGTAGGGTGTGGGCCTAGGTAGATGGGATTCACCTGGGCTGAGACTGGGCTTTTAAGGGCGGCCTCACAGGGATGCCAGCAGAAGCTGAAAGAGAAGCCGAGAGAAGGTGGGGGGGGGCCCAGAGTGAAGACTTGCTGGGGGCTGGGAGGCCTGCCAGCCTCCCGACCCCCCAGCACCCCTGCCTGCCGTGTACCTGGTAATCCCAATAAAAACCTGCAAAACCACTGAGGACTCTGCCTCCTCCTTTACCCGGTCTGCTGGATCAGGAAACCTGCTCAGTGGCCCATTCCTGACCCTACAGGTGGGGAATGTAGGAAGGTCAGAAAAGGGACCTGGACAGCAAGGAGGCCTCAGTAGATGTGTTAAAAATCCCGAGAGAAACCGAGCTCAGGGAACTGACAGTAACACTCAGACTAGGAGATGAGGCCACGGGCCGGGCCAGGGTATATTCCTTTAAAGCCATGACCCGGCGGTGTGGGGTTCAGGCGCTCCTGTGCTTGGAAAGTCATCCTCACCCCCGGGCCTGACTGCACTTTCGGTCCTGCGCTGTCTGCGGCTCGGGGCGGCTTCCACCCCTCTGGGGGCCCCTCCAGCAGGGCCGGCCTCTGGCCCCAGCTCCACGCTGGCCCTGCACATGGCCCACTGCCCCCTGCCTGCATGCAGAGCCCTCCCTTCCCGTCCGGGAGCGCTCTCTTGCCTGCTCGCCCTCTTGTCAGTCCAGGTGTCGCCACCTCTGCATTTCCCTTCCACGCCAGGGTTCCTCCAGCTGCTTCCCGTGCTTACAGATGTCCTGCAAACGCAGCCGTTTCGTCAGTTTAATAACCATCGATTTGATGATCATTTAATAATCTCCCTCACGGGCCTGCTCCCCTTGCGTTACAGGATTTTACAATCAGCATGGACGCCCAGGCGGCGCATCACGCCTCCACCTGCAGCAATCCCAGGCCACCAGCCCTCCCGGAGCATGGGAGGTTCCTGTCACCTCATGCGTCCCCTGGGGCACAGAGCAGCCTCGGGACCCGCTCCCCGCCCGTGACCCCGCTCTCATCAGCCCCAATCCTGCTGATCTCGTCTCCGCTCAGACCACCGCCTTCTCATTCCTCACTCATCTCGGCCTCTGGGAAGCTTCTGACTCTTCTGCCCAGGCGTCTTGTTGTCCTGTGACGTGCTGAGAGGGGTTGTCTTTCTACAACGCACCGTGTTTTACTCCCTCAAGCTTACACCGTGTCAGCGTGACGCCCGGCATCGCGTCTGCGGTCCCTGGCTTGTCTCGCCAGGCTCCCCGCTCCTCTCGCCCTCTCTCTCCAGCCTCGCTCCTCATTATTTTCATCTACCCAGGCTGCAGTCCCGCCTTCCTGCCCAGGCCCTCTTACAGTGCCTTCCCTTCATCGAGAATATCTTCTCTGTCCTACTCAGAGCTTGGCTGAGCGAATCACTAATGGCTTTTCAGGACTCAGTTTAGATAGAATTTCACCTGAAAAGCACTTTCTGACTGTCCCAGACTGAATGAGAGGATCCCCTGGCCCCCTCCCGGCCCCATCTACAGAAGGAGCCCCTAGTCCCTTGAATTTGCTTTTGTATCACATTGAATTAAAATCACATGTATCTTTTATCGCTTCTCCACGCGAACGTGAGCTCCTTGAAGGCTAGTGCAGTGTCTTCGTTACCTTTGTACCCACAGCCTTTAGCCCATACTAAGTTATCGTTACATATTTGTCAGATACATAAATGATGGATAAATTGTCAGTTTTCTAGTCACAGCGTTGGGTTTACTTTAATTAATGAAAAGGGAATCTCCAATGCAACCGATTGCATAACCAATGAAGCCAGTGTGGAGCCCTCAGCGCATCAGCGGTCGGCTCCTCTTTATGCAGAGAGGCATAAACCAGTCTCCACGCTGCTTGGACAGCACATATGTGTGTGTCCATGTATTTGTATATGTACGATTTGAAACCGTGATGATGCTCCAGGCTTTGTTCAGCCTCAACATGGTCCTTCAGATTTTCCACTAATTTTACTAAACTAGCTTTTCAGACCTAAATACCATCTTCTCACAGCTCATGGTCGTTTCTCCCATGAGCGTGGAGTAGGGTACGTGGATCCATCAGGCTGTTTGTGCCACAGCCTCTGTGGCTATCACCTGCAGCCTTGACTGCGCTAGTACAGGAGGCACTGGGGAGCGTGGGCGCAGGCACGAGTGCCTGATTGTGAACACCTGGAGTGCGGGTGTAGGCATGCGTAAGTGGGCACGCCTGTGCCCCGAGGCCGGGGCTATAAGGACAACTATGGCTGCAGGAGGACGTGCTGAGGAGACACACAGCTGGCCACAGAAAAGGCGAGACCACAGAGGATGCCAGAGAGAGCCCAGAGAAAAAGTAAAGATTTGCTGAAGGCTGGAGGCTTGGTTGCTGCCAGCCTCCCGGCCCAGGCCCTCCGCCTCTCCTGGTCTGTCTGCTCCACTCCACACGGGGAAGTTCTATTTGTTCTTTTCCTGTCTGAGCAGGTGAGGTGGCTGGAACACCGCAGTGCATCGCCATGAGAAATGAGTAGGTTCAGAGCTCCAGCTACAAACCACCTTAAAGGAAAACTCATTCTCTTTTCATTACTTTACACCTCCAGGTACCAAAACTTGCATTTAATTCCAGGTTTTAAAGGAGATTTTATGTCTACCTATAATCTCTTCTCATATAGTTTGCCCAGGAGAGGTTAGCTATTTTCAGTTAAAATTGATCCACCATCACCAGACCTGTGGTTGAACAGCAAAGACTAAAGTCATGAATCTCTTAACAGCTCCTGATGGGTTTGGACTGCACATATCATGCACATTTTAAATGTGGATAACCTCTAAAAGCATGCTTTTTTCCAGGTTTCAGAGAAATAGTATTTACAGTAAAAGGGTGTATGTAATTTGGCATTTAACACCTAATGTATTATCTTGAAATCACAGAAACGCTTCTTGCATTTGAAAGTATCTGTATCAGGCAGCATAATGACTCAAAATAATTATTATGGGAACACTTGCAAATATAAATTATTTTTACCTAAATTTAAGCTGGGGCCTATTAGGGTCCAATATCAGATCTATCGAGCAGAAATGTCTAGTTCTTACAAAGTGTTTCCCAAATGATTGAATTGGCAGATTTAACTGATACTCAACAAAGAAAAAATTACAATTCCTAATTGTCTTAGAATTCACCTTAGTTTGCATTTTTAAGAATTTGACCTTTGCGCTAAAGGTATGCTCCACTGTAGACATAAAGGAGAATTCTTACAAGCTATCGCAGGCACTGTGCATATCGTTTTACATGAAAAATATCAAGAATTAAAGTAATATACTGCATAGACAATAATCAGTAAAATTAGTGATTTCATAATAGTATCCTCACTTGAAAACATCAACTTATATAGATGATACAACAAACACTACAAAACAAAATGTTTCCAAATTTTATGTCCCAGGGTGAATTTCATAACTTTTCAAGAACATGAATCATAACTTACTGCCTTGTCAAAATATATTTCTTGCATTACATGCATTTCCTACCACATGATAAATTGTAGGTGATAAAATCCAATGCCCATTGTAGACAGAGTTGAGTGTATTGTTTTTCTCCTTTTTCTCATTTTTTTTTTTAAAATACAGACGTGATCTAATGTATGAGAGTAGATATTTTAATATTAAGGCAAGCTCAACAAAGTTAACTCTAAATATTCTTGATAAAAAATGGCTTGAATTTTTGTATGTCTTCTTTCCTTTTTCTCTTCCTTGATTCTTCCACCCCAGCTTCCCCCCTTTCTGTTCCTTTATGTCTTTCCTTTTCTCTATCCCTTCCCTTTTTCCCTGCTTTTCTTCCTTCACGCTTATTTTTTGTTTCTTGTGGAACCCCAATATCATAACAAATAAAACTACAGAACATATTTAAATTATAAATAAAACATTTCTGTTTCCCTGCTCTCCCTACAGTTTGCATTTGGATGTAGCTTCAAGGAAGATTTCAACAATGTCTTCAGAAGAGACAATTTTTATAGGGAAAAATAAACCAGTCTCCTCAGAATGCAGTTTTTAACATTGTTGTTCTTTTACAGAATATTCTGGAGCTCTTCCAAGTCTGCCTACTTCATATGCTGCTTTGCTAAGGATTAAGAAGAGTTCATCTTCGTCCCTCTTTGGTTCAAAAACGAGATCACGATATAACAACCCCTCGTTAGGAACTCTGAGTGTTTCTTCACCCAGCTGGCGAGGGGCAGCCCAGCAATACTCTTCCCCAGTGAATCTCTATCATTCTTCAGATGCCTTCAAACAAGATGGTAAGTGCCAAGGAAAACTGCATCTGTTGGAGTTGAACAGACAAAGACTTTATTCCAGGAAGGGTCAAGACTATTGTAATAGGGGAGAGAAATTAATGTCAACTCCTTCAGCCAGAAAGTGGGAGAGATGTTATGAACTAGAAAAGTGAGAGTGTTAAGGGAGAAGTTGGTCAATAAGGTTAGGCAGTCTGTGTTTAATACCTGGTGCTGGGAAGAGAAGGTTCTTATGCGCCTTGTAGAGACTGGAAGATAGGCACTCTTTCTTGATGGCTGCGTTTCAAAGGAATGTCTCTCAGGTCCTTGAAGAAAGCATTTTAGGGTTGTAAATGAGTGGAGACTGGGAGAAGATTTAAATCTCAAAGGGACAGAGAAGGAATTAACCACTACAAATTTTCTAAAGTAAATGTTCTAAGACAACGGAGAGTAAAGAACTGAAGTCAGGAAGAAACCTATCTAAAGGTTAGCTAAGCAGAAGGAAACATTCAGCCATCTTGTCATAAGTGAGTCTTCTGCCCTATACATCTTCCAAGATGTTTTATCAATTCAATTATTATTTAATTTTACCTGATACTCCTGACAGCCATCCTGATTCAGGGTTATGATTAAATCATAAACTGAAAGAAAAAAAAATATTAAATTTTATTGAAGAGAAATGTGATAGTGTGAATTCTGCGAGTTTTATATCTATACTCATTCTCATGGTATGATTTCTAGAAATGTTCTTTGAGTGAGAAAATAGAAAATAGTACACAAAGATATGTCATATATAGCATTATTTAGGAGTAGAAAATAAGAAATAAATGACCAACACTAAGAAATCAGTAATGAGGACTACTGGGCAACTTATAACATTATGCTTTAAACAACATTTTCTGGATATCCCATAACTATGTCATTTTGGGATATATAGAAAAAAAAAGAAAGGATTAACTAACTGAGAGACATATTAGCACCTGACTAGTACAAGATTCTGTGTTAGCCTCTTTTATACAGATGATCTCATTAATTCTCTCAACACATATATAAGGTGTGGGAGTTTTCACGGCCCTCCACAGAAATGGAAACTAAATGGCCAAGTATCTGTCACAAGGTCATTCGCACTGCTGGTCAGTACTATGGCCAATTCTCTTAACCTATCTACTGATTAGAAGTACCATACACCTTGGGCTGCATTTCAGTTACAATTGGTAGAGGATTAAATATTCAAAGATGTGTTCTGTAAACACCAAAGTCTGAAAAGATTTTAGAAATATTGAATTAGGTTGGGGTGGCAAGAGCAGGCAAATGCACGCCTCATGATTGTGCCAGTTGTAGCCATGCAGAGCATCATTTCAGTGTTGGCATTTCCATTTTATTTAATCAGAGAGTTAGCTTCCCAAAATGTTTTATTTTTACAAAATACTTATTTTTTTTGTGTATGAATATGCAGTTCTTACTATGTCATTTACTTTTTAAAACATTTTCGTTTACTTTAATATCATTTAATTTCTCCCCTCAGGTGTGACCACCCTGGTCTTCCCACTACCAAAGTGCCTATAGGCCTATAGCCTTTTGCTGCACTCCGCCATGCTCCCCTCCCTCCTGCCCCCCGAGTATCTCAGATCCACGGCCATCTTTCAAGGATCAGTCTTTATCTGATCCTTTGTTTATTTTCTCTAGATTCCACATAAACGTAAAATAATCCAGTATTTATCTTATTATAAAGTATAAAAGTCCCAAAGTCCCTTTGGTAGTCAAAGACAGAAATCAAGAAAATTAGATAGCAAGTGAAAGAGCAGAACAAAATATTTTCAAAAGACACATCTAATAAAGGATTGTTATCAAATGTGAACAGAGCACTCTTAAACCTCAGCATAAGAACAATCGACCTGATTAAAAAATGGGCCAAAGACCTTAACATACACTTCACCAAACAAGTTATATAAATAGCAAATGGTGACTTGAAAATGTGATTCACATCATATTCCATCAGGGAAATGCAAATTAAAGCAACAATGAGCTACCACTACACACCTATTAGAATGGCCAAAATCGGTAACACTGGTAGCACCGAATTCTGGAGAGGATGTGGAGTAGCAGGAATTCTCATTTGTTGCTGCTGGGAATGCAACTTTGAAGGACAGTTTGGCAGCTTCTTACAAAACAAGCTGTACTCTTATGATGTGATCCAATAATTAAATTCCTCAGTATTATCCAAATAAACTGAAAACTTATATCTACATAAGCACCTGCACATAGGAGCTTTATTCATAACTGCCAAGCCTGGGAAGCCACCAAGATGTCTTTCAGTAGGTGGATGGATAACTAAACTGGTACATTAGACAATGGGATGATAGTCAGTGCTAAAGGGAAGAGAGCTATCAAGCCCCAAAAGACATGGAGGAAACTTAAATGCATATGATCAAGTAGAGGAAGCCCATCTGGACAGACTAAACTCTACACGTATGACATTATGGAAAAGGCAGAACTATGGAGACAACAAAAAGATCAGTGGTCATTAAAGATAGTCGGGAGGAGATGAATAGGGAGAACACAGAGCCTTTTTAAGGGCATTAAAAATATACTGAATGTTACTATGTCATTATACATTTGTCCAAGTCTATAGAACGTGAAACTCAAGAGAGAACTCTAAGGTAGACTGCGAACTCTCAGTGACTGTGGGGTGTCAGGGTAGCTTGATCTGTGGTAAAAAATATACCATTCTGGGTAGTGATGTGATAACAGTGGAGTGTGTGCAAGTATGGGAGCAAGGGACATATGAGAAATCTCTATCTTATTCTCAATGCTTTTGTAAATATAAAACTGATCAAAAAAAGTCTTTTTAAATATTAATAATTCCCATCCCACCAGCTGTAATGCCAAGCTAAATCAGGCAGGGGTCATGGGACTTGTGTTGTTTAAGCATCATTAGTTATGGAATGCATCGAATTGAATGTTTTGAGTGATCAGAACTATGGGATACTGTTGTATTTTGCATAATTTGGCAGCAACTAATGTTCTGTGTGTGTTAACTTATCTCACTATGATAGATAACATACAGCTAGAAAATATTGTGTAAAACACATGAAAATGATGAAAAGAATAAATTTGGGGATATCAAATAGAGCCAGACGAGACTAATCTGAAGTGTCTGCGATAGTTGCTTATATACCTGCTGTAGGTTGGTCCCATCTGGGGTAATTAGCAGTCAAGGAAAGAGAAAATCTGCTTGGTTACATATTTCCCAGTGTTTTGAAGATTAAAATTAATTATTCAGTAGAAACTCAGCTATTCCTGACATCAACAAGAGATGAACTATCTCGGAGGGTCCTAACTATGAGTTCATTGTTTGATGTGATGATCAGAGACCTGAACATTACTCTTGCTGTACAAAGTGCTTATTTATTTATATTTATTTTTCTACCACCTCCTCTTCTACACTTATGACCCTTTCTCCCTCCCTCTCAACTTCAGAAACCTTACTTCCTTTGTTAGTGCCCACTGGTTTTCTATTTATTTTGCTTTGTCGAATCATCTGCTCTTTGGTTTTGTAATTTTGACTTGCTTTACTACACGTAATTCCCTTGAACTCCTTCCATTTTGTGGTAAACAGCAACATTTCATATTTCATCAAGAGAGAGTAGTAAGCCAACTCTTCACCTAAAATGTCTCTTCCAGTCTTGTGTCAGCTGAAATGACTAGGCTACAGTTAACACTAGGTCAACACTGTCGTCAAGATAGGGCCACCGACCAGGAGTTGTTCTCTTTGCTATTCAAGTATGGAGCCTTATCCTGGGGTACCTGCTTCTGTTAAGATGCACATGCTTAAGTCTGGTTAGTTAGAGCATTCAGCTATGGTCTAGGTTTTGGCGCTGGGCAGGGATAAGGCTGGTGTTTTATATACCCCATCCTCAGGCTGCAGATGGTAGCCTCCTCTATGCTGAGACACAGGTGATCACATCGAACTCTCCCATCTAGTTTGGATCCAACTATTGTAGTTTAGGAGCCTTACGCTCAAGTCAGTAGCCCTCACTGTGGACACTTAACACAGTAGCTCTCTGGTGACGCACCCTCTGCCCTGCACGCCAACCAAGTGCAACCCTTCTCCCATGTAGCACCTGGTTTTTAATTTCCTGATGTTAGTGTGTGCCCTTGAGTCAACAATACCAGAGGGATTCCATACAACAGCTGTCCCTCCTTCTCATAGGTTCTGCTGCCCCTTTATTACTCTAAACATAGCTCAATTACAGTTTTTCCTACCCCCACCCCCTCTAGCCATTAGATTGCTCCCAAAGTATGCCGTTTATCTTTCACCATTATCTTTATCATGTTGGAATTGATAATGAATATACAGAGGAGGTGAGCATCTTAACTCTGCTGCCATCTTGCCAGACTCCTATTGTGTGTTATGTTTTAAAGTGTCAATGGAAAGACAAGACGCAATCCATACATCAAAAAAAAGAGAAGTGATCCTCTAGAATAGTGTTCCCTAATTGTTAGTAAACATTCAAATCATTTGGGAATCTGTCGAAATAGATCCCTTTTCACAAGGAGTGGCCAGATGATCTGCTTTTGTATGAAGTTTTCAGGCCAAGCTGATGCTGCTGATCTGTGGCGAGGCTCTAGACTGAGAGACAGTTTGATATTCTTTAAGTCCTCTGCTGATCTAGTTTAATCCATATTTAGAGTATCTGGAGGAACAGACAGTCTGGGTGTTTTCCAAGTAATCTTCCATAACTACTGTTTTCTCATATGAACATTTGATAGATCTTGGCTAGATGTGACTTTGAGTTTGTTCTCTCTGACAAGAGCCTGACATATGGTTTTTGTCAGGTAATTCCCTTTAGCCTTAATAGAGAGTAAAGCTGGAGTTGAACATGCTGTTGTGAAAAATGAGAAACCTAACAGAGCTTGAATAGAAAGCCATCCCGCTTCTGCTGAGATTTAAACCCAAAAGTACTCTAGATAGAGCTAAGATTTTTCTGAGAAATATAAAATTTCAGTTTGCAAAACAATTTGGA